ATATATATATATATATATATGTATATATATATATATATATATATAAATTAATATAATATAATAAAAAAGGATATAACATCATATAATTAATATAATTTAATATAACATATTATATGATAAAATATAATTTAAATAATATAATAAAATATAATGTAAAATAATATAATATAATTTAAATATAATATAAAATAACATAATTTATTAATATATAATATAATAGAATAGAATAGAATATAACATAATATAATATAATATAGCATAATATAATATAACATAATATAATATAATATAATATAATATAATATAATATAATATAATAGAATATAACATAATATAATATAATATAGCATAATATAATATAACATAATATAATTTAATATAATATAATATAATATAATATAATACAATATAATATAATATAATATAATATAATATAATATAATATAATATAATATAATTAATATAAAATAATATAATATAACATAAAATAATATAATGTAATATAATATAATATAATATAATATAATATAATATAATATAATATAATTCATATAAAATAATATAATATAAAATAATATAATATAATATAATATAATATAAAACTGTTAACTAAAAGAACTATATATGTTCTCATATACACCGCACAAAATTTACTGCTGCCTTAAATGTTTTTAGTTAAATCAAATATTTGTATTCATGTCAATGTACATCAAATCAAAGTGGCTAAAATATTAAGTTAAGCTTTACAGAACTCAGAAAATGTAGTTGAAACCTGATTAACTTATTAATTCTAAGTTATAATAACATACAAACATTTGTTATTATGACCTTTTCCACATAATTTTAACAGTGTATTTTTTTTGATGGTCATTCATTTAAGGGCTGTTTAAGTGTTATGAAACCCGGTTCATTTCAGTGTTATTTATATTATGTTTATTTTTCTGTCACAACTTCGAAATCAGAAGTTGAAAATGTCTATATTTTACTAATGTCTATATGGTTTTTAATTTGTTTTCAATTTCTGTTTTTCGAATGTTAACTATTGATTTATTACGTCAATTAATAGTTACATTTATGTGTTTTTACTGTTTAAATAACATTAATGGCTAATAGTTTAATAGTAATAGTTACATTTATGTGTTTTTACTGTTTAAATAACATTAATAGCTAATAGTTTAATAGTAATAGTTACATTTATGTGTTTTTACTGTTTAAATAACATTAATGGCTAATAGTTTAATAGTAATAGTTACATTTATTAATTTTTTCTGTATAAATAATTTTGGTTTAAATGTAGACTCCCTCGCATGTTTCTGAAATTATCAAATTGTGTTTTTGATGCAGCGATGGATGTGGAGAGGATTATCGAGTGCATAAGAGAGGGCGATCAGAAAGGACTAAAGGCAGAATTACAGCAATTTAATCGAGAGGTATTCACAATTAACCCTGATTATATTCACTCCAGCGGCTCCAAAAACCAATGTATTACTGACATGTCATTACAAAGCAATCCACTTTGCACTATATTTAATTGCTCTTTCCTAATGCCACATTCTCTCTATTCCCAGTACGCACAGTGTTTTTTCTACGATTTGGAGGAGAGGGAGAGGAAAAAAGTAAGATATTTGAGTGTGATTACGCATGCACACTAATGAAGAGAGCGAACAGAAATGAATCTTTTTAGATAAGATGCTAAAAGCAAAGTATCTTAAATGACATTAAAAAATGACTTTTGCTGCTTGTACAGACTACTTATTAAAAATGAGTTGAAACAACACAATTCTTAGGTTTTTTTGGGGACAACTTAATTGTGTTATGTTTGATCTACTTAAATTTGTAAAAACAAATAGGTTAGCTGAATCGATTTGTTTCCCAGTGATGGGTTGCGGCTGGAAGGGCATCCACTGTGTAAAACATATGCTGAATAAGTTGGCGGTTCATTCCGCTGTGGTGACCCCTGATTAATAAAGAGACTAAGCTGAAAAGAAAATGAGTGAATCGATTTGAGTTGGAACAACATGAAGGATTTGAGTGCAACCGGGTAGTTTTAACAGTGCATTGCTCAGAATTTGCACAACACGCTCCACAAAATATGTAAGTCTAACAAATAAGATTGATGTATTCTGATTGCATATGAAATGTGGTAGACATACTTTTAACATTATTGAACAAATAAACTTTATGCTATTTATGTGTTAGTTAAATATAAATTAAACAAATAAGAACAAGATTTATGGGTCATACTTTATTTTGAAGGTCAGTTTGTTGAATTAACTTTTAATGTGTCTACATGCCAACTAATTCTCATTAGATTATCAGTAGACTGTTAGGTTAGGGTTAGTGTAAGTTTACATGTACATGCAACGTTTCTTATAGTCAGTTAAATGTCTGTTGAATGTCTGTATCAACAGATATTAAACAGACAATCTACTAATACACAAATGGAAAATCAAAATAAAGTGTTATGCATTGATGTAATGATGTCGATAAATCCAATGTGTTTGAACTGCTTCTTATTCATCCCTCGTGTGGAATATGGAGCTTTGTCAATTTTGCCCCCTGATTATTAAGTAAGCCAATATCAGAATTGAACTAATTGGATCTGGATTTTTCTACAGATATATTTGTACCACCTTCATAAATTTTAACTGGTTAAATCTATTAGCATTCGATTTTAACGGATTTAGATTGGTTCGAAGAAATCTGACAACATGCATTTTATAAAACTGACAACGTAACTAAAATCAAAAGGTTACAAACAGATCAATCACTGAATGCCTCCTCAATTGTAAGTAAATTTGGACAAAAGCATCTGCTAAATCACTAAATGTAAATGTACAAAGAGTTAATAATAAAATTCATCATGATTTTTAAAATGTATTTAGTGCATTAATCCATTGATTTATAGCTATTATTTTTATATTCAGACATCTGAGTACAGTCAGACTTATTAGACCCCTATTGAATATTTTTTCTTTTTTAAATATTTCCCAAATGATGTTTAACAGAGCAAGGAAATTGTCACAGTATGTCTGATAATATTTTTTCTTCTGGAGAAAGTCTTATTTGTTTTATTTCGGCTGGAATAAAAGCAGTTTTCAAATAAAAATAAAAAATTATACAATAAATTGCCTAATTACTGTAACCTGCCTAGTTTAACCTAATTAACCTAGTTAAGCCTTCAAATGTCACTTTAAGCTGTATAGAACTATATATAAGACTATAGTCTTGAAAAATGTCTAGTCAAATATTTTTTACGGTCATCATGGCCAAAGATAAAATAAATCAGTAATTAGAAATGAGTTATTAAAACTATTATGTTTAGAAATGTGTTGAATGAATCTGCTCTCCGTTAAACAGAAATTAGGAGAAAAAATAAACAGGGGGGTTAATAATTCTGATTGCAACTGTAAATGGAGAAATGAGTATTGTGAGTGAAAGGTTTGCTGCATGTCCTCAGTTGTTTGCTGATACTGCAGTTGACTTGATCCTGTGGCTGGTCAATATTTAGGCCATAAGCTTCTGCTAATTCCATCCCAGATAGCAAGTCAGCGATGATGCATTAACATTAATTATGCTGAATTACCATTACAAAGCAAAGTTGGTTAAGCCTTATTTTAGCAGCCTGATAATGTTTATCTTATTTAATATGATTATTAATATTATTTAATGTTGATTTTACATCAATGCCGTTGAATTAACAATGGAAGAAAAATAGTAATGTCATTTAATTCTCACTTTTATTTAAAAGTGTTAACATTGAAACTAAACAGGAAAAATCCTTTGTTACAGCAACGCTGAATATAAATTAAAGTAATTGTTGAATCTGGGGATTTGTCAATAGGTGTGTGTTTTGAGTGAGTGTATGACTTTATAACATACGGATTTTGTCTCTAATAATTGAGCATTTGTTTACAGAAAATTACAATTGACAGACAAAATGACAAAAAATATATTATATTATACATTATTTATATATAATAAAATGAAGTGTACAAAGATAAAAATCTCATACAAAGTGTTTATGACTTATCTAAATTGTAATTTATACATCTTAAAACATACTGGATAAGCTGGCGGTTCATTCTGCTGTGGCGACCCCCTGATTAATAGAGGGACTAAGCCAAAGGAAAATGAATGAATGAATAAATGAAGATATTTTGAAGAAAACTATTGACTTCAATAGCAGGAACAATAGTTCAATAGTAGTAAAACAAATAATATAGAGGTCAATGGTTACAGGTTTCTAACATTTTTCAAAATATCTTCTTCTGTGTTTAACAAAAGAAACTCATTGGGTTTGGAACCTGTGTGTGTGGTCCCTCTCTGCTCTAGTTATCTCTCATTTCTCTTTAATAAATATAGCATTTAATCAACTTAACAAAATGTCTTGTTTAAAATACTGAAAGCGTTCAGTTGATCATAACTCCTGGTAACACTTTATTTTGATGGTCCATTTGAGCATTAGTACTGTCTGCTTAATATCAGTTAATACAGACATTCAACAGATATTTACCTGACTAAGAAACTTTGCAGGTCATGTCAACTTACACTAACCCCAACCTAAGAGTCTACTTGTAATCTAATGATAATTAGTTGACATGTAGATGCAATGTAACTTAATTCAACAAACGGAGCATCAAAATAAAGTGTGACCAAACTCCTCATTGTGAAGTTGTAAACACTAAAGGGGGTTTTGGCGTCACCATGACTGCTTTTGTCCCTTAGAAATCCTGCATAATTCAGATCAGATGACAACTGTGAAATTCTGAAGTGTTTCCCAGTGTGTGTCATGTCTATGAGACGCTCAGCAGTGGTGGTGTGTGTTCATGAGGTCTGAGACCTGCTGGGAAACTCTACTGGAGTTTTCAGCATGTGATATTTTTCATGGCCACAGCATATACGCAGTTGTTTGAATGTGTGTCAGAGAAGTCGTGTTTGGGCATGTGTGACAGACTGCAGTGTGTGTTTACTCTGTGATAAGTGACAGTTGAATGAGTGAGAACTTGCAGATCCAAACAGGCGTTTCCAAAACCCCTATTCAACCACATTACCCAGTTTGTTACAATAGAGACACACCCTTCCTATAGCAGTTCCCTGTAGGTTAGACTTCAACCTAAGGGACTTTACCAAAACCATCACAAAACAAAGTACAGATTGGCCAATATCAGCAATTAAGCATTTATTTCAACTTTGAGATTTAAATGTTAATGTCTCAGTGCATTGCTGTCTGGGATATATAGTATTCCTCACTTGGTCTTTTAGCTCCTTGTTAAAACATGCAAATACAAAAATAGTCATGCATATGAGTGTGTATGTCTTGTCTTTTGCATCAGTTTAATGATTTTTGTATATTTTTCTGATGTCTGTTTGCATGTTCAATCTGAAGAGGCAGGAGCTGGAAGAGGTATTGTTTTCTTTTTTCAAGGCTACATTCTTAAACTTCTTGAAAAGTATTTGCCAGTTTTTGACCCTCTGGTAGTATAAGATATAATATGATATGTGTAGTGTGTGCACTAGAGGGCGCTCTAGTCCTCTGCCCAGCTGTAATCATTTGCACATAAAAACAACGTACTGTGTTTGGTTCAATAACTTACTAACTTAATGGCTGCATTATAACACACAACATGTAATATATATATATATATATATATATATATATATATATATATATATATATATATACGCACTCACATTATTACTTTATATCAAATCTTACAAAGAATGACCAAATCCTGAGAAATAAGACACTTGAACTGGAAATATGGAGCTTGTACTGTGTGTGCGTGCTAATGACGTCACACACCCTTCATTTTCGGTTGGGTTTTAGAAAACAGGAAAACAGAATAGAGGCCTTAATATGTTTTTTTAGTATTATTGATTGTATTTTATTAGACGGCACAGAGCGGCAGATAGTCTGATAAAACAGAGCTGCTTCTTCTCCGTGTGAGCGCGAGTGAGAGAGAGAGAGAGGGGGAGTGTGTCATAATAAAAGCTCTGCTGCCTTCATGCACAATATTTCGTTTTTTTTTTCGCTCACGCTCACACTTTGAAATAAATAATGACGGCTACCAAGATATCTCCTCAAAAAACCAAAAAAGCGGGAGTGTGTGTGAGAGTG